TTTTGCTAGATTCCCAACCATACAGCCGAAATTTTCCTTCGGCTTTAAGCATTAGTTGTTTTATTTTAGCATTAGCCTGACGAAATGCAGACTCTTCCTGCATTTCAATGTTTCTGACTTTTTGTACTGTATGATTTAGGTTCCATGGGACGTCATGTAGGACTCTTTGAGTGTACCACATCCTTTTTTTGTATGTTTGTACATTTATAAATATATTTAAAAGCAGACATGATGTCATGAAGAGAGATTAAACTTTGTTTTTTTATTGTTTTTGTGTTGTATTTTCTCTGCAGCATTTCTGAATGAATCCTGCTTTACAAACTTTGCTTTTTGAGAAATTCTTATTTGAGACTACGAAAAGTAATCGCAATTAAAAAACGAAGGTTTATGAAAAGATGACAATATCATTGGTGAGTTTACTTGTTACATAGTTTCCAGGTTTAAATATTTACCCTATCCATAAGGAAATCATTTGTTTGTTTCTACAAGTTAAACACAAACGTGCAAATTGCGTCTTTAAGTACTAAACTGTATGAAGGACTGTAGAGTGTAAAGGCCAAGAGAATGAAAACGCTTTTGTTTGCATCAGTGCATATTCATTTGTTATTCATCCACAATGGTTCAACATTATCATTCAGACCCTTGACCTCTGGGAGGACGGTCTGAGTCACCTTTCAATAACGTTAAAATAGTCCCTGAGGTTTCTAAATGAGGAAAATCTCCTCCGCGCAACAGCGAATGACTAAGATGGGTCTCATTTGTGAAACACAAGCAGAATGAATTTCCATTAAAATAGTTCCCAAAGCCCTTCTTGTATAAATTGTGCCATTCAATTCAAAGTAACAGTCTACACAAGAACAGTTTGATGAACAATTTATCAAGAAATTTGTTCTGCTTGTTTCACAAATGGCACCCTTTAAGTTTACATATAGAATGTGTATGAAAAATGGCCATTTACTCGGTATTAAAAGTTTACAGATAAACGGCAGTAGCAGTTATCGTAACCCTTACACTTTTTTTAAATCTTCGAAATACTAACTTGCCCTCAACAAGCATGTTTTGTTTTTTTCACAATGTTCCCTTTTAACACATTTTTTTATGTACTTAGTTGAGAATTCTTTATATTCGAGTCATAACCAGGATATTTTTGTACCACTGGACGACATTCAAAGATCTATATCAGACTGCAAATTAAAAGGAGGAAACTCTCTCTCTCAGTTTCTCAAAATTCAGTCATCTTTCTCTTTTTGCACATATTTGCATACTTATCAAATTGCATTTGTCAAGTCACACCGCTCTCTCTCTCTCTCTCTCTCTCATCCCTCTCTCTACACCTGTTTCTTAGTTCCTGTTTCTGTTGCTTATTATATGTAGGTGTTTCCTATGTGAAAAGAATGTTATTTATTTTTAGTTTATAGAAGAGAAGAAAGTAAAGACTCATGCTGACTATGCTGGGCATTGCCAGTTTTCATAAATATTTTGCAAAAAAAAAAAAAAAAGATTTTTTTGGTCCCCTGCTCTGCACAGAGAAATGAAACGCAAACTGTATCTCTGAAGATGTATAATAAAAATTGACTTTGAGACACGGCTGTATGGTTCTTATACTGTGTGTGTGAGCATGCATGAATGTGTGAATTTCTAATCTGTATCTTACAAAGCTTCCTCTGTGTTGTATCTTTATTGAAAGTAGCTTCCTTTCTCACAGATGTCTAAATTGAAGCTAATGCCAGTCTGTTTCCTTGCATCACATGTACCTGACTGACAAATATTCAAAATATTATTTTATTTTTTATAGTTCTGTCCTTATGAATGTTCATGTTTGTAATTAAACACTTATCAGGACGCAAAAAAAAGAATGGCCTGTCGATTTCTTTATGCTGTAATGTGATACATAAATTATTTAATTATTTGTCATTGAACATTTTATTACATTGTTGTGTCCACATAGTGACTAATTAAACTGTGTTGGTTGAAGTTGTTGATGCATGATATATCAGACCAGTACAACAAGCAGGATTTTTGTTTCAATTTAAACTGCTTTCTATTATCCAGTTAAGTTTTTTAAAAGTTTGCATGCTTCTATTGTACATTTTGATGTTTCGATTTTACTTAAAGCATGTAAAATTATAGATGTGTTGCTTCAAACCTGTAACACTAAATTCCCAGTGAACACATCCCTAATAAAAAAAAACAGTACTGTTTTAGATGTGTCAGCCAAATGTATGAATGTATATAATTTGTGTTTATAATATCAGCAATCAGACTGGTTATTGGTCTTTGCAGCTCACAGATGCAGAGACTGACTGCGTGTATGAATGTGTAAATCTGTTTCTTTTGTTTGCTCCAGGTCTTTGTCCACCTCTATAGATCCAGGGTTGTTGTTAAGTCCATATATCGCCCTGGACACGGAGGAGAGGAGTCTGAAATTCCAAACCAGGCGCCTTCATATTCAAAAGCAGCTAGAGGTACATAAAAAAACTATTAAAAACTCATGCATTTACTTGCACACGCACACTTGTGTAACACAGATTTGATCCACCTAGTACATGTGAGCGAATATATAGCCTACCTGATGGTTGAGTTTTTGATTTTGTGTGTGTGTGTGTGTGTGCGCGTGTGTGTGTATTTCCATTAAAATAGTTCCCAAAGCCCTTCTTGTATAAATTGTGCCATTCAATTCAAAGTAACAGTCTACACAAGAACAGTTTGATGAACAATTTATCAAGAAATTTGTTCTGCTTGTTTCACAAATGGCACCCTTTAAGTTTACATATAGAATGTGTATGAAAAATGGCCATTTACTCGGTATTAAAAGTTTACAGATAAACGGCAGTAGCAGTTATCGTAACCCTTACACTTTTTTTAAATCTTCGAAATACTAACTTGCCCTCAACAAGCATGTTTTGTTTTTTTCACAATGTTCCCTTTTAACACATTTTTTTATGTACTTAGTTGAGAATTCTTTATATTCGAGTCATAACCAGGATATTTTTGTACCACTGGACGACATTCAAAGATCTATATCAGACTGCAAATTAAAAGGAGGAAACTCTCTCTCTCAGTTTCTCAAAATTCAGTCATCTTTCTCTTTTTGCACATATTTGCATACTTATCAAATTGCATTTGTCAAGTCACACCGCTCTCTCTCTCTCTCTCTCTCTCATCCCTCTCTCTACACCTGTTTCTTAGTTCCTGTTTCTGTTGCTTATTATATGTAGGTGTTTCCTATGTGAAAAGAATGTTATTTATTTTTAGTTTATAGAAGAGAAGAAAGTAAAGACTCATGCTGACTATGCTGGGCATTGCCAGTTTTCATAAATATTTTGCAAAAAAAAAAAAAAAAGATTTTTTTGGTCCCCTGCTCTGCACAGAGAAATGAAACGCAAACTGTATCTCTGAAGATGTATAATAAAAATTGACTTTGAGACACGGCTGTATGGTTCTTATACTGTGTGTGTGAGCATGCATGAATGTGTGAATTTCTAATCTGTATCTTACAAAGCTTCCTCTGTGTTGTATCTTTATTGAAAGTAGCTTCCTTTCTCACAGATGTCTAAATTGAAGCTAATGCCAGTCTGTTTCCTTGCATCACATGTACCTGACTGACAAATATTCAAAATATTATTTTATTTTTTATAGTTCTGTCCTTATGAATGTTCATGTTTGTAATTAAACACTTATCAGGACGCAAAAAAAAGAATGGCCTGTCGATTTCTTTATGCTGTAATGTGATACATAAATTATTTAATTATTTGTCATTGAACATTTTATTACATTGTTGTGTCCACATAGTGACTAATTAAACTGTGTTGGTTGAAGTTGTTGATGCATGATATATCAGACCAGTACAACAAGCAGGATTTTTGTTTCAATTTAAACTGCTTTCTATTATCCAGTTAAGTTTTTTAAAAGTTTGCATGCTTCTATTGTACATTTTGATGTTTCGATTTTACTTAAAGCATGTAAAATTATAGATGTGTTGCTTCAAACCTGTAACACTAAATTCCCAGTGAACACATCCCTAATAAAAAAAAACAGTACTGTTTTAGATGTGTCAGCCAAATGTATGAATGTATATAATTTGTGTTTATAATATCAGCAATCAGACTGGTTATTGGTCTTTGCAGCTCACAGATGCAGAGACTGACTGCGTGTATGAATGTGTAAATCTGTTTCTTTTGTTTGCTCCAGGTCTTTGTCCACCTCTATAGATCCAGGGTTGTTGTTAAGTCCATATATCGCCCTGGACACAGAGGAGAGGAGTCTGAAATTCCAAACCAGGCGCCTTCATATTCAAAAGCAGCTAGAGGTACATAAAAAAACTATTAAAAACTCATGCATTTACTTGCACACGCACACTTGTGTAACACAGATTTGATCCACCTAGTACATGTGAGCGAATATATAGCCTACCTGATGGTTGAGTTTTTGATTGTGTGTGTGTGTGTGTGTGTGTGCGTGTGTGTGTGTGTGCGTGTTGTAGGAAAGCACAACAGTTAAACGAAGACTGCAGTTTGTGGTCAATTTGACCAGGTAAATACACTTGCACAGATAATATAGGATATAATGCATTCTGCTTACTTTACTTGATATAAAACGACGGCTCAGTTTATAGAGATTAATATAAAACGTATTTAGATGCTTTATGGTTATTAAGCATTAAGTGAAACTTGTCCGTGATGTTTCGTTTTATTACAGGTAAACTGAAGCCGCTGGAAAATATGAGGTTCACGTCACGTGTTCAGGAGAATACATGTATAGTACAGTATAATTAATATTTAAGAATATGTAGTTATTGTTTTATATTTTGTTTTTACTTGTCTCTGTTTCAGTTACTAATTTTATAAAGCGTTCTTTATTTCCGTTATTTAAATTGTTCATTGTAGTCAAATTGACACCGGTTCTTTCAATAAAGTTTTTATTCGTTTCAAATCACTGGGCCATTGTAGTATTTGTAGTTTGTGTGGTGTGCAGTGCTACGGTTTTAAGCACTGTATGGAACACCATTACCCACAATCCTGCACTCTTCCTTAGGCTCAGTGGGCGGAGCTCAAACGAAAACATGGCAGCGGGTGTATTAACTGGAGGTGAAATAAAACGTGTTTGTATTTAATGTTAATGCACTTAAAGTAGATTTTATTATGTAAACCATATTATAGTAACAATTAACAACATTATAATATAACGTCTTGCTTGTGCTTTGTAGTGACATAAAACATTACGTGACCATCGAGTGTTTTATAGTGACTTTCTGAGCAGTTTTGCAACAGACTTTGGATAAAAATATATGTATCGTTTAATGAATGAATGTAATATGATCGGTTTCAGTAAGGCAGGTTCTCCGGGGCCCTCGGTTGGTCTCTGCTGTGTTCTCATGTCACGGACAGACATTCAGCTCCGCTGCAGCTGCAGTCAAATCACCGGCAGCAGCGACAGACACCGGTGAGACTGTCAGAGATGAAGTGATTATTACACATGCGTGCGTACAGAATATATAAAACCCAGCGGCCTAAAGATATAGCTTCTGTCAATTTATAGTATAGAAAAGGAATTCTAACTTGGGGGCCACAGAGGAGTGTCAGGGGTCCCTGTGAAATGTTTAGAGAAAAAATATATATTTAAATACATTTATTTAAAACCATTTATTAAAATAAATGTAAATATTGTTTAAAAATTAACTAGTAATTAATACATAAAACAGTGCAGTACTATAGTGAATAAAAACTTTATTTTGGAAATATCCACTTGTTGTTTAACTGTGTTCACATAAATTAATACAGATGTTTCATAAATAATCAGCTTGCTTATAGAATTATTCCTCTTAATTTGGAATGTAGACTTTAATGTAAATATGTGCTTTGATGCATGTGTTTTTTCTGTGAAGCACTGAAGATGATGTTAAAAGCACTACATAAAAAACTTGACTCTTATAAAGAGGTTGTAACGTATAATATTCATTCAAAGCTCATAGTTATTTCTGTATGTTTGTGTTATATGTTCAGCTGCTACAGAGAAGATCCTGAACTTCCCACTCACTCAACCAGATTATTTCCGCTTGTCTGAGCTCTTCACCATGAAGGACCTGTTTGAAGCCCGTGTCCATCTTGGACATAAGAAAGGCTGCCGGCATAGGTGGGTTATTGACATTAAAGGGATAGTTCACCCCCAAATTAAAATGTTGCCATCATTCACTTACTCTCATGTATTTCCAAACCCATGAGACTTTTGCTCATCTTTGAAAAACAATGAAAGATATTTTTTTAAAGAGATCAATCCAAAAAGGTTATAAAGGCATCCTAAAACAAATCAAGTGGATGTAAATAAAAGGCAAATTGTTTTGTTTATCATATAAAGCAATCTCTTCATAAGACTTGGGTTCACTTTATGACACCTTTATAACCTTGTTGGATCATTTAAGTTTTGTTTACTTGGACTTTCAAAAGAGGGACAGAAATCTCTCAGGTTTCATTAAAAAAAAAAAAATTTTCAGATTAATTTGTGTTTCAAAGATTAACCAAAGTCTTATGGGTTTGGAACAACATGAGGGTGAGTAAATTATAACAGAATTTTCATTTTTAGGTGAGCTATTAAATATTCAGTGTGACATGTTGTTTCTTATAATCATTCTTATATTAATTATAATAATATATAACTCTTATAATGAATAATACATTCAGTTTTTATATATTTTATATCATTTTTTTATTTTAAATTATTTGTAACTGTGTATAATTGAGAAACTACATGGAATCTATGCAATTATGTCATTTTAAATTTTTTATATTTGTATTATATACATACATACACACCTACACATAAATTAATCTATGCATTTATATTTTTTTTTTATATTTCTTATATACATACATGCACACACACACATACATGAATCTATGCATTTATATATTTATATATATATTTGATATTTCTGTTATATACATATATTATATGCAAGTCAAGTCACCTTTATTTATATAGCGCTTTTAACAATACAGATTGTGTCAAAGCAACTGTACAGCATTAATTAGGAAAATAGTGTGTCAATAATGCAAAATGACAATAGTAAACACTCAATTTTCAGTTAAAGGCAGTTCATCATTGCACACTTGTACATTTTTATTTTCTATTTCTATTATATATATATACACACACACACACACACTTATACATACAAAAAGCATGACAAATGTCACAGAATCTGAACTTTCTTTCTGAATGTTAATGTGTGTGTTTCTCTGTCTAGGCTGATGGGACCGTATCTGTTTGGTTCTCGTCTGGATATAGACATCATTGATCTGGAGCAGACAGCAGAACACCTGCAGCGGGCGCTGAACTTCACGGCTCACGTGGCGTACCGCGGTGGCATCATCCTGTTGGTCAGCCGCAGGCGGCAGTTCGGTCACCTGATAGAGACGACGGCGCAGGAGTGCGGCGAATACGCTCACACACGCTACTGGAAGGGCGGCCTGCTCACCAACGCCTCCATTCAGTACAGCCCCGGCGTCCGGCTGCCGGACCTCATCGTTTTCTTCTCCACACTCAATAACGTCTTCCAGCAGCACGTCGGCATCCGGGACGCGGCCAAAATTAATATTCCCACGGTGGGGATTGTGGACTCTAACTGTAACCCCAGTCTCATCACATACCCAGTGCCCGGCAACGATGACACTCCTGTTGCCATGGAGATGTACTGCCGGCTATTTAAAATGACCATTAACAGAGCAAAGGACAAGAGGAGGCAGATGGAGCTTCTCAAGGGGATTTCAGCCTCAGTATGAAGCAGGTCAACGAGCTTCAACATCTCTATCAGAGTTTGTGTGGATGTGGATGTTGTCCTCGCATAGAAAGTTCAGTAGAAATATGAGTCCAAAAAGTAAAAATTCTGTCATATTAATGTATTATTTTGATTAAAGTTCAGTACCTACAAATTTTAAACATGTGACCATCCTAGAACTATGGAAGCCCATTTCCGCCACAGAATAAAAAAGGTAATTGCAACTTTTTATCTCACAATTTCGTTGTTTCCTTTGTTTCTCTCGGTATTGCAAGAGTTGGAATTTCAAGAAAAAAGTTTAAATTCTTAGTTTATATCCTGCATTACAATTTTTTTTCTCAGATTTCTGAGTTTCAATCTCATAATTTTTTGAATAAAAACAGTAAATGCTACTTTTTATCTCACAATTCATACTTTTCTTCTCAGAATTACATTTATATCTTGCAATTCCGATTTTTTTTTCTTCAGTTCTGCGAATATTTTCTCAGAATGGCAAGATACAAACTCAGAATTGTGGAAAAAGTCAAAATTGTGAGAAAAAAAAGTCGGAACTGTGAGATATTTTTATAGTTTTAATTTTTTTTTATTCTCTGGCAGTGCCAGGCTCCCATACAGAACTAAAGATGTCCAGCTTAATTTGAAAATGTAAAATCCAATGATTTCAAACTGAATATTTATAGTTGTTGTTTTTTTTATTAATTGCCATTGATTACCTGTTATGTGAACCCAATAAAGTTTCACAAATCCAAATGTGATGTTTATTGTATGTACTTATGTGCATAAATATCAGTTTACAAATTACTTTAAGAAGAGGTTTGACTTTTAAAAACACATTTGGACTTTTTGGATGAATTTTAACCATCTGATTAACTAATGCAAGTTTTAATGTGGCACCACTAGCAAGAGTCAACTGCATGTCAGTAATTTAAAATATGTTTTATATATGTATATAATGATTGTACTTGTGTTGCTTTATCAGCAAAAGAAACAGCGTGATAACGTACTTTTGCTATGATATACTTTCAGTAGGCTAGCTATGGAGAATATTCGCTGGATGTAAACAATGTATGAAATCAAATCACAACAACGTAGGAAACAGATCCGGCGTGACACAGCTGACACAGAACAGCATACGCTGTTTACGTCGTCGTCAGCGGATATTCTCCAAAATGGTGCTACAGGGTGATGCGGAGGAGACGAATTGTTGAATAGTCGTTTTTTTTGGTTTTTTTTGCACATAAAAAGTATTCTCGTAGCTTCGTATAATCGCGGATGAATCACTGATGTCACATGGATTATTTTACAGATCTCCTTGCTACGTTTCTGGGTCTGGGAACATTTCAGTTGCCTTGCTGTCTATTCAGCAACAGGAGATTCCATCAAAAATATCTTAATTTGTGTTCCGAAGATGAACGAAGGTCTTACGGGTTTGAAACGACATGAGGGTAATTAATTAATGACAGAATTTTCATTTTTGGGTGAACTATCCCTTTAAAAACGGTCTGAAACCGCCCACGTGTTGCGCGCAACCAGCCTGTAGTTTAACTCCAAAACGTTGCTGTGCAGTGCAAACGACCTGAAATCTGCACTTCAAATGCTAACCAGTGTTGGGGAAAGTTACTTTTAAAAGTAATGCATTACAATATTGCGTTACTCCATAAAAAAGTAACCAATTACGGTACTTAGTTACTTTTTATGGAACGTAATGCGTTACGTTACTTTTACGTTACTTTTTCAATCTGGGCTGGGCTTGCTTGTTTGCTTTTAATATAAAAAGTATTCATTTTGAGGAATACTGAATCTGTATTTTTTTTTTTCTTTGTGAGTGAGTGAGATGAATTAATGCATATTCATATCTATTTTAGAACTACAGTAACATCTTCTGATTTCTCTCAACATGGGGACAGGAGAGCTGTCAATCAATAAATTTGAAAAAAATAAGTAATTTGCGTTACTTATTTGAAAAAGTAACTCAGATATTCTTTTGTAAATGAAAAAGTAATGCGTTACTTTACTAGTTACTTGAAAAAGTACTCTGATTACGTAACTCGCGTTACTTGTAATGCATTACCCCCAACACACCTGTTTTACACCAGTTTTTTCTTAGAATATTGTACACTTCTGTTTTATGAACTTCAAAAATGTTTTCTTTTACTCAGATGTCAGGTATCTAACCACAATATCAAGATGAGCATATAGAGCAGTGTATCACTTTATCCTCTCACAAGAGCCCAGGATGTATTTCCATCCTCACCCACAGGATAATTAAACAGCTGCACCTGTGAATCACAATGAGTCATTGAGGCACATATTGAAAAGGCGAGTCAGCGTATGGCCTGCCATAAAGCTTTGCGAAAATTTAGAACTAAATACAAGATCAGACAAGTGCAATTTAATCTGGGCTGCTCAGGAGTTGTGTTTAGTCAAACGTCCAATTCAGCAAAATGACATTATTCATAAATGATGCCGAAATATAATTGACATCTTTATTTTATGAGATTCATTTATTACTAATATTCTGTATGTGACATTAGATTGCTAATGATTCCATTTGCAGTTAGTCGTTTAAAAATTAAGGCAGGTCAGAAAATTAAAAATGTTTAAACAACAACTTTTATTTAGAATGAAATACATTCACATCACCACAATAATGTTAAATTAAATTATTACAGTATAAAGCATTTTGGCCTGTTGATTATTTTCCAACCGCACGTTCAAATGTTTTACATATACAATATATTATATATACACTACTTTAAAAGACAAAAACCAGCTTACGTGAGGCCAAGCACGACAGTGTGTGTGTGTGTGTGTGTGTGTGTTAAAGCATTGTTTAAAAAGCACTTTGTGATTGAGCCACTCGCACACTATACAAGTGAACAAGAAGGACTGTAATTTGTTTAAATGAGTCACATGATGATTTCACATCTGGTCATCTTCTTGGAATGGTGGGTGGTCTTAACACAACCTTCACTCTATCTCCTGTGACCTGCAATGTGAAAAGTCTACGTAACTCGCGTTACTTGTAATGCGTTACCCCCAACACTGATGCTAACAATCTAACAGAGTCGTCATGCTTTACTGCTGTGGCTTATTTTTATTGTTGGACACAGCAGCGCTGCCTTTTGAGTTGACGCAGTAGCGTGCTCGTGTCGGCAGGAGGCGCAATATGTTTGACACTCACTGCTGTTAATCACAGTGGAAAGAGCTGGAAACACACTGAACCCACTCCAGTGAGGGGTCTAATTTACAGAAAAAAGAAGAAAGAGTTATATAATTATGCTTTAATTCTACTACAGACCCTGAAAGAAGAACTTTTTCTTTCTGTTTGGAAACCACCATGATATTCTACCATCAGGTAAGGATTTAAATTGTCATCAATATTTTAAGCATATATGGTGGGTCTCTGCTGAAGGACTAATTTTGTTACACCTTAAAATAAGTTGAATGATAAGTTGAATTTAGTACTTGTGCCAAAATGAAATCTTAAAAACATTTCAAGGTGATAAGAGAAGTTAAAAAAGCTAATGCGAAGTAAATAATGTTATCTATATGTAAAAAAATCTTTATTTTTAGTTTTAAAATTGTACATAATTTTTCACATTTTAATTGACATTTTAGATTAAATTGTTGGGGTCAATACATTCCGTTAAAAATACTTTTATTCAGTAAGGATGCATTAAATTGATGAAAAGTTATTTCTGAAAGATCATGTGACACTGAAGACTGGAGTAATGATTCAGAAAAGTCTGCTTTGCGTCAAAGTAATAAATTACATTTTAAAATATATTCACATAGAAAATAGTTATTTTCAATTATTTTTATTTTACAATTTTTATTTCACAATATTACTGTTTTTCCTGTATTTTTTATTTTAGAAAATGCAGCATTGGTGAGCATACTGACCCCAAACGTAGCTATATGTAATATTTTTTAAAAAGTATGCTAAATTATTCTACATAATCTCTCGATATCATAAAAGGGCATAAAAATTATATACAAATCAGAAAAATGTGAAATGTCAAGCTACCCATCATGTGTGCAGTGAAGTCTTGTGTAAAGGTGTGTGTAGTTGAGTGTTCTCTGCGTTTTGCCCCATGAGACGTAACTCTGGCAGTGATGCCACTGTTGTGCTAAAAGTGGGCAGACTGGCTTGCGATCGACCCTGCTGTCCTGTATGGTGGACCGGGGGCTTGGAACGAGGCCGGATAACCCAACCCAGACCTCTGTGTGTGTTAGTGCCCATGTCAGCCTGTGAAACCCTTTCTAAATGCTCCATTATTCTCCATCAATGTTTCTTTGTATTTGGGTATTGTAGATTCTAACGTGTTTTTGTAACATGGGTTGTGACCTAGAGTCTTGAACAGAGGTCAAAGGTCGACTCTACAGCAAGCTGAAGTAGTAAGTAAAACACGCACACACTTGTTGCTCCTCCAGGCGTTACAGCTCAGCTGAATATGCCGTTTCTGTGTCATGAGGAAGCAAAGAGCAGCAGGGCACTAGAATCTACACTTTGTACCCATAATTCCACAGTGTAAAGAATGAATGACAGCCCTTACAAACCAGCATGAGACCCTGTTTCAAGCAGGGATGTGAATCCTGTAAGATTGGTCCTTAACCTCATCTTAAAGACCCTACAAACAGAGAAAGTTTAAATAATAGACGTATTTTTTCCCATTTCCATACAACTGTACATGGCTGTTATCTGCACTATTTATATTTATAGTAATATTTCAAGATGAACACTGACTGGACTGAAGCAGCATAGGTTTACTTGATTACCCATACATCAGTTTTTAGAAAAAGCATGTTAAAATGTATCAAATATGATCAGCAGGTTTTTGAGGAATGTTTATTTGTTCATCTCTCAATCATCATTGGATTGCATCACATATATTTTGATCATAAAACAAAGCATAAATGTGACCCTGGACCACAAAACCAGTCATAAGTTGCACAGGTATATTTGTAGCAATAGCCAAAAATACATTGTATGGGTCAAAATTATCCATTTTTCTTTTTTTTTTTGCCAAAAACCATTAGGATATTAAGTAAAGATCATGTGCCGTGAAGATATTTTGTAAATTTCCTACCGTAAATATATTAAAGCTTAATTTTTGATTAGTAATATGCATTGCTAAGAACTTAATTTGGACAACTTTAAAGGCGATTTTCTCAATATTTTGATTTTTTTGCACCCTCAGATTCCAGATTTT